GTCAATCAGTCAATGACTTGTTTTTATTCAACTCTCTCTCTCTCTCTCTCTCACTCTCGTGTTGTGCAAATCAATACTATTCTGTTGGCATTTCTCTTGTGTTTAAAACATGAAATTTTGCATAATATTTGCTTCTTTACATCAATTCTCGTTTTAAATATAAAGATTTTTTCTCAGTTCAACATTTTATTTAAAATGTGATTCAATTAATTTCTCTGACAAATGGTTTGCAAACAAATTTGCGACAATCAGTGAATTTATTTCAAAAATCAAATTAGTTATCCAATTATTAGATATTCCGGATGTTTGTATTCACTATTGGCATCAATAATATAAAAGTAATATATTATTCATTAATAAAATTTGTTTCCACATATTCTGTAAAGTACTGCACTATTGGCAGTGCATATGTATCCTAAAAGTAAAATACAGTAAAATGCAAATATAAACCATAAATTTCCGTTTTCTATGAAATTTATTGCTGATAAATATATGAACACAACTGCACATCAAATTTATTGTTAGTTTATACTTGAAATAACATTTAAAATTCATTATTTACGCTAATTATTAGTTAATTGACGAGGAAATTAAATTTTCACAATACATCTAATTATAGTAATAGTGAAATCAATGCTTCAATTAGACAGTAAATGCATTGCTATGGCTTTGATACGACACTTACTGACAATCCATGCAATCAAAATATTTTGAAATCAATAATAATTTTGAATCAATAATAATTTTGAATCAATAATAAACTAATGTTATATTTAATATAACATTAGTTTATTATTGATTCAAATGTCAAAAGATTTACCAATTTTGTAAAAATAGTAGATTTCAAAATATTTTGAAACTTGATTTAATAATATTTAATAAAGAATTAACAGAGAGTTGTGTACAAATTGCATTACATGTACAGTACTTGTAATGAGAGTTTACTACAAGTCATCACATTATTTGTCAATAAAATGTATGATTAAATTAATTTGAGATTAATTATCAACTTATGTTTAAAACGTTGTCTGAATTCAATGTATTTTTTGTCGAAACAGAATATTCTTTAATTTAGGCATAAAATAAAGAAAAAGAGCAAATTATGTTTTACTCTCTCATATCAAAAGCAATTTAGTCTCAAATTTCAATGAAATATGGATTTTTTGCCTCAAAACTTCTTATTTCATGATAATGTCATTTATGCCATCAATGGGAACAGTGATTGAGTTCACGTGATATTCTTCTCAATCCATAATCCTATAGACAAACAGTCTCTTTAACATCAAGTGATGACATAAAATAGTTTATATGTTTTAGTAGTTATGAAATATACCACTCATTCCCGGAACCAATGAAAAAATCAAATATTTTATTCAATTTACGAATTAATAAGAAAAAGTATAATAAAGATCAAGTGATGACATAAAATAGTTTATATGTTTTAGTAGTTATGAAATATACCACTCATTCCCGGAACCAATGAAAAAATCAAATATTTTATTCAATTTACGAATTAATAAGAAAAAGTATAATAAAGAGAGCGATGAATGAGAAATGTGTTATGAATTTATTTTTTATAACGATATGATAGTTATATGTTTTATATTGAATTTATTACCTGAAGATTTTATTAAGATAATTTTTGGATTATATGCTTTTTATTCACTTTTAACTAATATCTTGTAAATATTTTATTATTAAATAAGAGTTTTAAATATATTTTGTAATATAAAAATATCAAATACTGTATAAGGAATATAAATAGAAAATATAAAGCAAATCAATTTCAATTAGTTTTGTTAATAATGCAAAAAATAAAGGACTTTACCATTTATGTCCAAAAGGAGACAACTATTTTAGTCGCTTTGAATACACGTTTGAATTATGACTTCAAAACCATTGTTCACACAAAAGGAAAGGAAAATATCTCACAAGTCGTGACACTTTTCTGTCAAATTCTTTATCAAAAACTAGATTTTCTTTGAAAAAAACATTTCGTACTCTTTTATTAACGGTTTATAAAAGCAATACATGGGAGACATAGAGTTCATAATACTCTACATAATAATGTTTGAAATATTATAATTTCTGGTAAATTGTTTTAAATGATTGCTAAGCATTATTACCAACATTTATAACATATACATAATAGTAGGTAAACAATAGGATCATTACTTGACTACAGAGTATTTTAGTTTGATTTTTACTCTTAAAACCTTTCATTGCATTAATTATGAATAATTTTTGATGCGATTAAGTCTTATGTATTATATTTTCGATGTATTTAATGTCTGATATCAAACATAATATAATTTATTTGATATTCATGTCAGTTATAAAAGACTAAATTTAATTATTAACAAATTCAAGGCTTAAGCATATAATGGGCGCAGAAGTTGTTGGATATAAATACATACAGATATACAGAATTAAACATTTCAATAATAATATAACATTTTAAACTTAATTTTAGTTATGATTATTATTAGTCTCGAAACCCCTTCAGAATAATTTAAATAAACGTTTTGAGCAATTTATAAGTGAAAACAATTTAAAATGTTGTTCATATTATTCCAGCTATTTTTAGTACATTTATTTAACTGAATGCTTGAAAGTTGTTATAAAAATTGTTTAATAAAAATATTATTAAATATTTATAAACATATTATATACTAATGGCAACAAAATATTGTGTCTAAATCCAAATGCCCTCCAAATTAGAGTCAGTTTAGAGACAAAAAATATCTACAAATGTATTTTTTTCCGTTGATGTCATCAGAAAATTCAACTTATTTTGGAGATCATTATTGTTTAATAAGTCTTTAAATCTTTTAAAGCTATTTAATGTTTGACAAAAAAAACTTATCCTCTGTTTTTAATATATATTTTTTATATAGTATAGTATTTTCTCTTGAAATGTCTAAATTAATTGATTTGAACTAATGCTTAGAAATTGAAAAATTGTTTTCAAAACTTTCTGTTAAATTGAATTCTTGAAAATAAGAAATAATGTTCTGTAAAACTAATATCCACTGTATTTTCAAACCGATTATTGACTTTATGGGGGATGAGATGAATGAAGAGATAGAAATGAAGAGAGAGAGAGAGAGAGAGAGAGAGAGAGAGATTGGATGCTATTTATAAGTATAAACTTTATTACATTTTATAAATTATAGCAAATATTGGTCTTGAAATGAATGTTTTGTGAATTTCCAAAATTACATATAAATATTTCATAAATGTTTCGACAAAAAAGTAAAATAATATGATTTTATACGATTTGAGAGCAAATATTTATACGTAAAAAACCAAAGAATAAATTTATTGAGCAAATAATTTCTAATCGATGTGTTTGTTGTATAGGTTTAATATACTGGACATTTGTACCGTCAAGAAAAACAATAGGCTAGAGATCAAGGAAGAGCTACAGGAGCTGTCATTAAGTGAGGCCAGAGTTATACTCTTGTATTCAACCAAAGAAGAGGCCCAAGAGATCATCGCCGCCGCCGAAGAGCTCAAAATGACCGGAAAGAACTACATGTGGATCGTCACACAGAGCGTTTTGGGCGGCGCCGCCGACTACGCCCCTGGTGAATTTCCGCCCGGAATGTTAGGTTAGATACTAATTTCTGCTACTGTCTTGTATGTTGTTTTTGTTCTCTCTCTCTCTCTCTCTCTCTCTCTCTCTCTCTCTCTCGAGTGATACTATACTTCGATTAGATATATCTTATTACTCCTCATTTCGTGTTTTTCTCATTTAAACAGTTGTAAGCTTTGAACCGAAATGTTGTAATTTTGGGTTTTGTTTTGCTTCCAATTAATTACTTGATTGAATGCTACAATTTTGGTGATATTTTTGGACACAGTATTTATTTATTCTTAATATCTTAATCTTTTGATATAAAATATATGCCAATTAATTGTAGTAATTTTATATCTCCACATAAATAATTAAACATTTATGATTAGAGTCTAAAAATACATGACATTAGATATAGAGTAATAATAAAAGCGAGAAAGCAATCAACTGTTTGAAGCCCTGGTTGTGGCCATAATTGCACACAAATCAGTGGCTAATGCTTAGTGTTGTAGAGCTAGTTGTAGTCGTCGATTGGCATTAACGGCTTTCGCAGCGCTTTTTGGCTATTGTCTGATACTGTGAATGACATCTCATTTTAGGCGTTCATTTCAATACAACACACCAACGATTGTTAGATGAGATCGAGAGAGCGGTCACTATATTTGGACACGGATTGGAGCTGTTTGTGAACGACGCCAGGAATCTGAACCTAAGCCTATCGCCAAACCTGAGCTGCAATGGATCGGCAGAAACGCGTTGGAGTCGAGGAGACATATTTTTCAAGTCTGTATCGATTCGTGTCTTTCCATGTCATGTAGTTTTTGCCGTTTAGTGTGCAATCATTTACACGCATAATAAATACTAAATTTAGGCCTAGATTTAAATCTTCGTAAATCTAATAATGAAGGTTTTGCATTCTTACCCAGTTTCATTTTATTACAAGTGAATTAATTTCCAAATGCCCTCAAGTGTGCAACTCATGTGTGTTTAGTTAGCCTTCAGTCTAAGGAATTTGTATATAATTTGTTGGCTCTTCTATAGCTCTATATATAGAGTACAATATATCTATACTTTAGATAAGACTCTCTATTCTGTATGCATTGTATTATTGAATTCTTTCGATTAAATTCTGTGATTTATTCTTTAGACCGCTTTTTAAAAAATAANTTCTATAGCTCTATATATAGAGTACAATATATCTATACTTTAGATAAGACTCTCTATTCTGTATGCATTGTATTATTGAATTCTTTCGATTAAATTCTGTGATTTATTCTTTAGACCGCTTTTTAAAAAATAAATTTTCTTCATTTCTTAAAAATAGTGATTCAAAACTACAGAAACGTTTTTGTGAAAGATTGCCGCAGAAAAAGGAGAAATAATATAAATTTTTAAAAATATAATAAAAACTTGATAAATTCCCTGCGCCAATATTTTACATAAATGTTATGTTAAATTGCGAAGAATTTCTATTTTTTTGCTCATATAATGGCAGGAATTGTACATAGATTTTAAGTTTGTTTGAGTTGCGTATATTTTTATATCCATAACATGTATGAATTACCGTTTTTGCTTGACTATGGATTCATTTTTATATTAATACATAATTCATAAGTAAATCAGGATTTTAATATCATTACTACAAAAAAAAAATCTTCATCTAAAATTCAAATTTGTTTTTTAAATAATATATTAAACTTTTTGATGCATTCCTATAAATTCTATATATATTTTGCTTCCCATTTTGTAATGCATTCTACTATTAATGCTATACATGTTACGTTTGAATGCATTTCTCGTATACGATATAAAATTTAAATTTAATTTAATTTTTTGTTACATTTTTTATCGGCAGATATTTGTATGATTTCATTATAAATTCTGCTAATAATTGTATTCAGATATAAATCAATTGCAAGTATACTGTATATTATATGTACTGTATATTTAAAAGTGCATTCAATGCATAAGTAACCTAATCTTATTCAATGAACCCATTAATAATTATTAATAAATTTAATTATTTAACTCAAGTTAAGAATTTTTATAAAAGACATGAAAATACTATTAAATAACAGAATATAAAATTTTGGAAAAGTATATAAAAGTTATAGAGAATACACAATTCTTTAGAGGCTTAGTCTATGTTAAAGAATAAAGATAAATATTATCCGATTATATTAGGGATATTTAAATATATTTGCATTTAACGTTTTGAAATTTGCATTTTATCGACAGTTATTTGCGAAATATAAGCGTTAAGACAAAGTATGGCAGACCTAACCTGGAATTCAATGCCGACGGGACTCTCAAATATGTTGAGCTCGATATCATGAATCTCAACAACATAGGCATGTGGGATAAGGTATGCACAACTATACATGTATTTACTCCACTACATTATATAGTAATTATGTAATTATCTTGATCATTCTAATATAGTTCCCGTCTATTTATAAATTATTATGCATTAAATTTTCTATTTTTATAAAACAATGACATGTTATTTGGTAAGGATTTGATAAATATAGGCTATGTTTTTGACATGAATAGATTATTGAGTGTTTTATTATTAACTTCAATGCAAATTACAGTGTATTGACAATAATAATTATTGTAGAATTGTTTTAATTAAATATTTATCAAAAGTAG